GCACACCACAGCCAGAAGCAGAGCCAGGCGGTGGGGGCAGGGGTTCCCCTCTGCAGGGGGCTTTGTAGGCAAGCGATGCAGGATGCAGTGTGGTGGTGGCCGCCATGTGCGGGCCGCACACATGCCGCCCAGCCATTTGCGCAGGGGAGAGGGAGGCTGGCATGTGGTCGGCTCCACAGCTCTGTGCCTGGCTCTGCAGCAGCGGTGAGAGATGGTGGCTGGTGGGACGGCAAGGGCTCGCACACGGTGGCCACTGCCGCTTACCTGTAGGGCCGTGCCAGTGGTGATGGCCGCTGTGTACAGAACCTCCCCATGCTGCCTCAGAGCTGTGCCCAGAGCTGTGCAGCCAGCTGCAGGGCGACAGCGGCAGTGTGGTGGTGGCTGGGCAGCACGCAGCCATCCCCACCACCATCCCGCACTGCATGGTGGCTATGGCCACCACCACGCTGCTGCTGCCGCCCGGCAGCGCATGGCCCTACAGGTAAGCAGCAGCAGCCACCGCATGCGATCCCACCCCCGCAGCCATCATCCCTCGGTGCCACTGCAGAGCCAGCCATGGAGCTGTGCAGCTGGCCACATGCCAGCCTCCCCCTCCCCTGGACAGCAGGCCGGGCAGCATGTGTGCAGCCCGCACATGGTGGGCACCACCACACCGTACCCTGCATCGCTTGCCCACAAAGCCCCCCGCAGAGGGGCACCCCTGCCCTCACCCCCTGGCCCTGCTTCTGGCTGCAGTGTGCCGCTTGGAGCCAGCAGCACCCCCCGCTCCCTCAGCCCCCAACCATCTTCCCCAGCCCTTCCCCATAGCCCCCAAGCCCCACTTACCTCTAGGATCCAGGGGCAAAGGGCAAGTGTGAGCCTGAGCTCAGCCTTGGCTGACTCATAGGCTCAGGCTGAGCCCTTCCCCTTCTCCCTCCTCCTTCGGGCAGGGCTGGGGGTTTCCCACCCTTTCTGCAATTGGCTCTTGCAGGCTGGAGCTGTTCCAGCCTGCAGGAGCTCTTTGCAAAAGTGGAGAATCCGCAGATTTCTCTGCTAAAAAAGGGAAATCCATGTTTTCTCCGATTAAAAACAGGGAATCCATGGTTTTCTCTGTTTTTCCATGGGAAATGGAAAACCCAGATCCCTGGTCATGATCCACCAGGCCAGCCAGCCTAGTGAGTAGACCTGGGCATGGATCTGGGAGTTGCAGGGGCCACAAGTCAGGAGCCAACATGCCAAGTAAGGCTGTGCAAAGCTTCAGTTCGTGATTTGATTCGGAGAAGATTCGGCCCAATTTGGAGGCCAAATCTCCAAATCCAAATTGAATCGCTAGAAGCTTAAAACTTTCCAAATCGATTCGGAGCCTCCGAATCACTTCGGAAAAGATTTGGAAGAGATTTGGCAATTAGGAGATTCAGAAGGCAGTCTTTATGGGGAAACAGAAACTTAAAAGAAGGAGTGGGAGTGGGGGGTGGGGCAGGCGGGGGAGAGGGAACAGGGAGGGAAGGAGTGACACTTTTAGCTAGCAGGTGAGTGTGATTTCTCTCTGACTGCCTTTCCAATCACAGTGTCTGAGGGAGGGACATAGAAACAGCATAAAAGCCTCTTCAGGCTTGCTGTGCCTTTTGTGAGCTGGTTCTGAGTGAGCAACAGCATCAGAAAGGTACTGGACTGCCTGGCTTGCTTCCTAGTCAGTCAGTTGCCTGCTCCTTTTTGTTCTTAGAAAGGATTGGATAGGATATAGCTTAGCTTATCTTAGTTTAGCCTATCTTAGAATCTCTCTACTTAATACTTACCCAATTCATTTCTTTCAATTCATATTTGTTTTCTTTTATTTTTTGTAAACTTCTAAAAAAGAAGGCTCAGTGTTTTCACTGGCAGTGTGATCCATCACTGTGCAGGGAAGCACACATTACACACACTCACACAGATCATAGAAATAAGTCATATATTCATTGAAGAAGAAGCAATTTTATATAGTTATTACATTAGTTATTAATATTATTAGTTATAGTTAGTTTTAATAGTGTACATACAGACTAAAGACAACATAGAAGAAGTCAGAGATTCAGATTTAAATTAACACACAACACAGAACTCAGAGTCTTAGAAGAAGCAGAAGAAGTCAGTCGTACATCACAGAAGAGCAACACACACCATAGTTATTATTCATAATCAATAACCAGATCCATCAGCAAGCCACAGTCCACTACACACAACACAAAGCAATCTAATAATCGCACAACCCAGAAAAGAACCATCATCACAGAAGAACACACAAATTTATTAGTTATTATTTATAATCAATAATCAGATTAATCAGGCCATCACAGTCCACTACACACAACACAAAGCAAACTAATTGCACAACCCAGAAGAAAAAGAACCTAGAAGTCAGACACACAGTCACACACCTTTTGCAGCACAGGAAAGTTTAATATGAAGCGTGCTGGAAAGGCAGGTGCCAGGTCTTCTGGCAGGGGAGGGAGAGCGGGTAGAGGGAGAGCTAGAGCTGCAAGTCCCCGTCCCCCTCCCCCACAACATGTTCCCAAGCAGCCATGAGGTGGAAGCAGGGAAGTGGGAGCAGTACCTGTACCTGACATCCCTGCACTGCACCACCTCCGCTAACTCCAGCAATAGGCACCAGCAGCAGCAGCATCTCCTCTACCCCAATGTCATCTCCCAGTGTGAGCCTCCTACTGCCAGAGAAGGAGCTGGAACTAGGGGAACTGAGCGCCTTGGCTCAAGCAATTCTGGGAACCAAGGGGAAATAAGAGTTTTTGCTCCATGCCCT